ACATAAAAAGCTGTAAAAACGCTCGATCGCACGGCCAGCACGGTGCGCGTCGTCAATGATTTAGCTACTGCTTTGCTGCAGGGGTTTATATTTCTTGAAGCCTTGACGTTGAGTCAAATTTCTTTTAGCCTCCATCGGTTTCCACTTTAGCCTCCAAACACATCCAGTCCTTTTTTTACGTTACAACGGTGCAGTCATTTTTGGTGCTTTCTGATTCACAGTCATTGGACAGAAAGTTCACTGAAATACTATACGGTACAAAAACTGTTTGCAAAATTTCTGGTTAAGGTTAAGAGCTGACTATGAGGGTCAGTGGTCAAATCCAACAATGACTGCGATTTAATGAGTCGACTGTTACTAATAGCTTACTTGGCATACTTGGAACCAATTTCATTCTGTTCCACGAAGTTAGCGATGATAAGGGGATTCACCAGTAGGACAACGAGCAAGTGGCTGCTGTTGGCAACGTATTACCAGCAGCGCTACTTTCGAATGCCCGCTTCGCAACAGTGATTAAAAAACAGGAAATTTTAGCTATAATAAAATAATGTAAAATACATTATGCATTTGGGCTAATTAATCTTTGTGCTGGATTTCGATTGTTTCAACGAATTGTTTTCAAACGATTGGAGCAGTGTCTAATTTCCAGACCAAACACCGGCGCAATTTGCAACCCCTGAGCAACCAAAGGCAGGCACACCTTTCGCGCCATCTGGTGCCGACTCAGGCAACTCTGGTTCAGCCAGTAACATTCGGTTGCCACCAGTGGATAAGACAGTAGATCTGGATGGTGATGGCGCACTGAGTCTTGCAGAGGTGCAGTACGCTGCGTTTGTACATCACGGGCTGTCCAGTAATGTCGTCGAAAGTCTTTTCAATGAGGTTTATTTTTGCGCAACAAAATGAATTATTGGCTTTTTTCTTTCGGAGTTTTTAAAACAAGTGGTCGCCTCCACATGGGTAGCTAAGTCCGGAGTCCGACTCTGGGTCGGCTTATTCTTAACACAGCTCTTCTAACGAGTGTTAATTATTAGGAAGAATTGTGATTGAATATACGTAACCTGAA